TATGTCCTCTTCGTGTCTTGGGTCTAGAATGTCCCATACCTCGAACCGTATCCCCTCGTCACCTCCGCCTTGACCTTGACCGTCGTCACCTTGACCCGCCAGCTGTCTGGCCAGCTCGATGCTCCTGACCGAATAGTCCACGCCCACCATGGGACCGCTAAACCCTCCTTCTTCCCGCAGCAGACTCAGCATGCTCCCATTGCCCGTCCCCAGGTCCAGTATGCTAGGCTCCCGGCCGGCCTGCGAGTAGTCCGGCGCAAGTGGGAACTTCTCTGAGGTCATGAAGTCCAGCACCTTCTGCGGCGCATTGTGCTCGCTGAACCACGAGGTCCCGATGTCTGAGTCGTCGTCCTCTCCCTGGCCATCGTCTTCTCCGTCTGTCTGCTGCTGCTCGTCACGGCGTCTTCGTCCGTCTCGCTTGGAGGACAGAAAGTGGGTGAGCGAGCTGTCGTAGTATCTTTCCCAGCTGCAGATGCCACCGTCAGCCCACGATCATATCAAAGACTTCGTTAACTTACTATTCTTTTGTCCCCAGCTCGCTGGGCTCGAGATACTGCGGATGTGACCCTCCTTGCTCCTCCCCCAAGGACATCTTTCTCTCTTCCTGGTGCTTGTTAGTGGTCAATTGTATAACCATTAGTTAGTTAGCCTTCAAATATTTATTCTTGCGGACTTGGAGCGTCGCTTGTTGACCCGCCAAATTTCAACATCACCAAAGCCCAGCAGGAGAAGCATCACCACAAAACTTAGATCTGCAGTCATCGGGCCATCCGGGCTCTCTCTGGCCTGCTATTAGCCGAGTAATAGGGAGTTTGGCTGTTCTGTCTGCTCTAGCCCACTATTCTCTCGTCCTGCCAATGTCGATGCCTGTAACTTAAGAGCAGGATTTGGTCGTCTAAAAAGATATTGAAACTGAGCTCCCGAGTTTCATCAGTTTTACTCTTCATTTAGTTACTGTTGTAAAAGGAATTTGATGCTTAGATTGCTATTCAAATAAGTAGAAGGCCCGACATTAACAGTAACATCCAATTTGATAACTAGACCATAGAGCTGAACTTGTTCAATTTGGCCAGAGGAAGAAAAAGAAACCCCATGACAATTATAATTATTCCCTGCTGATATCCTGCCCTAGACCGACAGATCATGGCACTGGAGACACATTTCACGAAGGACTGGATGCTGGAAGACATCCCTTACAGTGAACTCAAGCCCCCTTTGCCGCCCCAAGGCCACAATCTTCATCGCTGCAATCGAGTCTCCCCCGAGACGGAAGAAGCTGTCACTTGCGCTGATGCAGTCTCGGTCTTCAATCTTCAGCACTTCGGCCCAGAGGCCCTGCATCACACACTCCTTCTCCGTCTGGGGTGGTGTCCGTTCGTCCACAGCGGCCTTGTTCATTGCTTCGATTTCCCGCGTTGAAAGGGACGCCGCCATACGACGTAGCTCTCGCCGGTCCGCTTTGCCTGTGGCTGCAATGGGGATGCGTTTGACGGGTATATATGTCGATGGGAGCATGTACCGGGGCAGCACTTCTTCAATCTGCTTTCTGACACTGCTTATCATCTGCTGGACCAAGCGGTTGCACCCCAGTTCATTAACTTCTTTGTTATTATCGGAAGAGCCGTTGCTGCTGCTGATACCATCCACGGCTATAAAGGCTGCAAGAGTTTTATCTGCGATGCCAGACAGCTCGACCAGCTCAGCTACCACCTGCACATTCCCATTCTCCCCCAGGGCGCCAGAATCCTGCATAAATTTGACAGCCAAAGAGCCGATGTGATGTTCAAGATCTCCCAACTCGACACGTTGGCCCCTGATCTTGACCTGAGTGTCTCGGCGTGAGAGGAAGAGAAGCGAGCCGTCTTCCTGGTATTGGACCAGATCTCCAGTACGGTAGAGCCGCCCTCGACGGCCTGGGTGTCTCCCATCGGGAGAGCCGCGTTGAAGCCATATAGGGTCCTTGACAAAGACTTTTGATGTCTTTTCGGGGTCATTGAGATATCCTTCACCCACAAGCGGGCCTTCAATCCAAAGTTCACCAACAGCACCAACAGCAGCCAGTGCATCCGGATTTTTAAGGTCGACAACCCATGTGCACACCCCAACTCCCCGACCAATCTCCCCCCCTTCCAAGCATTTGGGGCCATATAGAATAGTGCTAGTGGGCGTGCATTCGGCTGGGCCATAAGCCAATACTAGCTGTGTCTCATCACCAACTAGGTCCAAATCATTTGGTAAAATAGCTTCACCACCCAGCACCAGCGTCGATAGTCGAGAAAAGGCGCTTCTTGGTTCGACAACGCGCGCTACTGACGGCGTCAGGTCAGCAACAGTTGCTTGGTACTTTTCCAGACAGCCACCAAGATCGTTCTCAAATTCCTCCTGGGAAGGGATACAGAGGCACCCGCCTGTAGCCAGGGCCCTCAGTAGATTAAGCCAAAACACATCAAAGGCATACGAGGTGAAATCTAATACCCTTGGATTACTGCCAAATCCGAGAAATTCTCGCTGGTAAGCAATTGCACTGATAAAGTTCTGGTGGGTAATCACCACTCCTTTCGCATCCCCTGTTGTCCCGGAAGTAAACACGATATAAAATGCATCGGACGGATGCACGGCCGGCCATTCAGGGGTAGCGATCGTGGAGCCAGTAGGTAGATATAGATCGTCTCCTACCCTATAGACTTCACCCTGACCTAGGCTCTCAAAGAAGGGTTGATTCGAGACAGAAGACAGTATAAGCGTCGACTTTGAGCTGGTAAAGATCTGACCTATAATTGAACGAAGCCTTTGTTCTGGGAACGAGAGGTTGATAGCAACAGCTGCTGCTCCAGTCTTCATGACGGCCAGCGCTGCAACTGGCATCCACTTGGACCTTTCGAAACAAAGGGGGACAATGCTTCCTCTACCAACACCTTCAGCAAGGAGATGGTGGGCAAGCTTAGAGGATAATTCATGCAGTTCACCATACGTTAAATCCCCATCCCAAGCGTTAACAGCAGGAAAATGTGGCTGCTGAATGACCGTCTCAATAATCAAATCGGGTATAATACCTTCAACTGGAACCGATAACTCGGCATTCCAGGCCCAGATGTTGTTCAAATCTCGGTGGCTGGCCACAGTCACATTACACAGCTTGTCTTCCCGTCGATTTATATCGAGTAATTGTCGGATCGTGTGTTCGAGTCCGTGGGTGAGCCTGATAGCACGATCCATACTGACAATGCCCGAGTCAAAGCCCATTGCAATTTCCACATCTTTGCCTTCTCCTTCACTAACTTTCATCACGATTGTATGATTATCTTCCTTAAAGACACCTCCCTTCGTATCACCGTTAGTGATGATGGGGTCGTAGCATTCGATCCCATCTGTTCTTGGAGAGCCAATTACTAGCAGAGTCTGGAAATTGCAGGCAAATTTGGTTTCGTCTGACAAGCAAGAGATTTGTTCCAAAAGCATACGCTGAAAGGGCTCCATGCTGCGTATTTGCTGCTCGATTTCCGAGAGGAATTGAAGAATGGTGTTGTTCCAGTTAAGCACAATGCGAGTAGGCAACATGTTTTTCCTTCCTTCACCATTCAGGCGGCATACTCCAAACAGGCTTTCATCGGAATTGGAAAAGTGAGCCGTTAAGATAGCCCACGCAGCCCTAACTACTACTTCTGCCGAGAAACTCCCTGGGATGAAATCAATGCTTTTCATAGTCAGATGTATTTTTTCACCACGTTCAATTCCGGTGGTCACCATCTGCTTGACTTCAGGAAAGTGTACTCCGTGAGTGTTAGAAAGCTGGTCTTTCCAAAAGCTCTCTGCAATAGACCTTTCAACGCCGTATTTTTGTAGAAATATCTGATCAAAGAGAGATATTGCCTTGGCATATTGATCATTGTTTATGATGGTGAGTCCCCCCTGAAGCTCATCATGTCCAGTGTTACCGTCAATATCGATGGTTAGCAGATAGTCAATTGCCTGGTTGAGCGTCTCATAGACCTCTTCAGCTATCTGCTGGGTAATATATGGTTTTCTGTACTCTAGCAAAAGATCGGTATGGCCATGACGATTTAGTGAGACGTTTAGACTCAAGTCGTACTAAGTATAATCAACCTTCAGTTAGTTTCATATCATACCCTCACTATATCCATAGCATATTTTGTCTTACTTCATGGCCGTCCTCATCATCCAATGTTTGGAACTTAATGCTGTACTTCTGAACTTCTTCCTTGTCGTAAGAGCGAATCGAGAGGGATGTATTGAAGAGCCGTTGGCCAGATAGCCCAAGTCGGTGAAGGACCTCCCCTATAAACACATGCTGTATGGCCATGTTCTGTTCTGACTTCTTGGATGTGGCCCGGAGGACCTCTTTTACTGGTACCCCCATGTCAACTCGGCTGATAAGAAGATTAGCTAGAGGGCCAACCATTTTCTCTACCCGCTCAATTGGAGCGTCACGCCCCGACGTGAGATAACTAAAGCAGACCTCCTTCATCCCTGTATAATGCGATAGTGTTATTGCCCAGGCCACCTGCAGAAAGGCAGAAAACAGGATATTCGTCTTTTTGCAGTAATCCACGATGTGAACTTTAGAGTGCGGAGTGGAGCTAGATACCTCACCGAGCATCTCGGGCATCATTCCTCGTGAGGATGGCGATGATGTGGGAAAATTGCAAGGCTTCATTCCATCTAAGATAGTCGCCCATGTAGCAGCAGTCTTTTCTTTGGGTGTCTGGCTAATATAGCTAATCATATCAGTGAACCTGGGGGCAGCTGGAAGTTCAAAACCATCATATGTAGCTGCAAGCTCTTCTAGAAGTACTGCCATTGATTGAGCATCGTTCATGGCATGATTCATGTCAAGTCGAAACGATACTACACTTGCAGCTTTTGATCGGTATATAGTTAACAAATGCTGCGGCTCATTCAGGAAAAAAGATGGGGGTTCTTTTTTGTTCAAAACCGTAATCGGATTATTATCGTCAGTTTCCATCTGAATTACCCTTACTGGTGGCTTGTCTAGCACCATTTGGATAAAACCATTACCCTCGGGGTGGAGGGTAAAGAGAGAAGAGAGAACCGTGTGCCTGTTCGCCACTACTTTCCAAGCTGATTCCAAACGTAAGGGGCAAACAGGCTCACCAAAGGAGTCACAGCGGCATGTTGTGCGAGTGTGATAAGAAGCAATCCCCTTAGCTGCACTTATGAGCATGCCCTCCTGCAAAGGCGAACAAGGATAGATAGCTTGGATTTGTTCTGGTTTGACCCCCATACGAGGCAGTTCCTGCTCAAGAAGGATATCCAAGCCATTGTATGAGAGGGGAAGGAGAGGCAAATCACTCAACGTGAATCCGGATGGAGCTTGGGCAAAGTTGTGGGAAAGAAACTCTAGGTCCTGTGAGAAATTTTGAATCCACTTTTGAAGACGATCACTCTGCATCATCTTATGAAAGATAAATTCAACCTTTAATTCGCCGTCGGATACAGCAGCCTCTATATCAATCATTGACTGTCGCCGGGCCGATTTTGAGACTTCGGTTATCGCCAGAAGGGAATCACTAAACTCGGAAGGAGAAGACGGATTGAATAGCCCATCTTCTTTCTCTAGCTGCTGGAATCGACCCGTAAAATTAAGCACAATCTCAGGGGTATCGTATGCTTCAAATGCCAAATGGCCAGATTCACTATTGTACCGGCAAGCCCAGAATTGCTGCCCATTTGCAGGCACATTGCGTCGCGTGTCTTTGACAAGCCTGACCACGTCCCTAGCTAGTGAGTGGTGGAGGTTAATCGGAATTGCGAAAGGATACATAGAAGTAAACCATCCCACTGTACTAGAGACATCGACTGGCTGCTCACTAAATTGTTCACGGCCATGGCCTTCAATCCAGATTGCTGGTGTGCTGCGCTCCGGAAATGTATGAATGAATGCGTGGAAGAGAGCACTAAGTATAAGATCAATTCCTTCAGTCCCCAAAGAATCATTACTCTTCCCGAAGAGCAGGGAGCTCACGTCCGAGGAAAAGGACACCTCCACAGCCTTGCATTGGCCATATGTATTCTCATCTAGGGAGACACCCCAAAAGCCTATCTGAGGCTCGGGAATTGAGTAAGGGAGTACTAGTAGTGGTGATAATGTGCGCCCTATTCGGGCCTGGTGTGCACACCAAGCCTGGAATGACAATGTCTGGGCAGAATGCAGCTTGCGGGATTGCAGATGGTCTTCTAAATCGGCCCAGATAATTCTCCAGGAGACAAGGTCTATTACCAAATGATGGGCAGAAAGTAAGAGCATTTGATTGCCTGTAGGTAGATTGAATAGATCACAGGCGAACACAGGGCCATTTCGAATATCCATATTCTCTTGTCGTCGCTGCGATTCAAGTCCAACAGCAGCATAGTCTTTCATTGTATGTTCTGTTAGCGCAAATGTCTCCGTACTGTACTCCGCAATTCTTTGCTTCCATGTATGTGTGTTCAGGTCTTTTTCAAAGCGTGCTCGTAGCATATCGTGACGTAAAACGATGGCTTGAATAGCCTCCTCAAGGGAGGCCCTAGAGACAGGGCTTTTGAGATCAAGAAGAAAGAATTGATTGTAATGATTTAGCCCATCAGGGTATGTATCGAAAAAGTTACGTTGAATCGGGGAGAGATCAAAAAGGGCCGTTGAATCTTCCTCGAGCTTTGGGGTTGACAGATTTTCTTGAGACGATACATCCCGACAAACTTTTGCTACATTCCGGATTGTTCGTGATAGCAATATATCACTCACTGTTAAATGGATGTTATGCATTCGACATTGGGAAACAATTTGCATAGCCGAGATAGAGTCACCACCAAGCCGTGCGAACGTTGCATCAATTGATGCCTCCGCTCGTGACAAGTTGAGAACGGTCATCCAGGTATTCTGCAAAATCGCCTGTGTCTCATTCAATGGCTCTTCGTCATCATTTCCCATTTCTTTATCTCCAGCAGCAGATAACTTCGCTTGCGAGAGCAGGGTTCTACCCATAGCACGTAGGCGCTTTCGATCTGTTTTATCATTGGTGACCATTGGAATTTCCCGTAGAGGGAAATACATAGTAGGGAGCATATATGATGGAAGTAGCTGTGTTAATCGGCTAGCAAGCTCTTCTGTTATCCGCTGCACTTCAGTATTTTTTGAGTGTTCATCCATTTCTTGAGATCCTTGAAGCGCCAGAAAAGCCACTAGTGTAAGGTTTCCGGTATCAGAAGCTTGCTGTACTGCCTCTACAACAATTTGTAGTGTTGGTTGCTGAATGGCTCGACGAATAACACTTTCAATTTCGCCTAGTTCCACACGCTGGCCTCGAATTTTGACCTGGTCATCTTTTCGACCTACGAAGACGATATTCCCATCTGGCTCATATCGAACTAAGTCACCAGTACGATACACACGTCCACGGCGTCCAGTATTCTGTACCAGCCAAATAGGGTCTTGTATAAAAGCTGCTGCAGTTTTTTCAGTATCATCAAGATATCCAGCACCGACAAGAGGCCCTTCGAGCCATAGCTCCCCAACTGTGCCTATCGAGGCTAGTTGTTGTGGGTTGTCTTCTTCTACAATCCAAGTGACAACCCCAAAACCGCGGCCAATTCTAACTCCGGTTGCATCCAGGGGGGAAATAAGCGCCGTTGGAGTACACTCAGCTGGGCTATAGGCATTGATAATTCGAGTACGGTCTCCCGCCAGCAATGTGTCAGAGGGCAATATCATTTCTCCACCCATAATCAGTGTGGTTAAACTTGATAGAACATCTTTTCCTAGCGCTCGAGCAAGTGAAGGTGTAGAATCCATTAAATTAATGCCATATTTTCTCACAGAGTCAGCCAAGTGATTTTCACGTTCCTGTGAAGAGGGTATACATAGACATGCTCCTGCAGCGAACGAAAAGAAGATGTTTGACCAAGTAACATCAAAAGCGTATGAAGCAAAATCAATCACTCGCGATTTATCATTGTATCCTAGAGCCTCTCGTTGGTGGGCAATAGCAGTACAGAGGTTTTGGTGGGTTATACGAACCCCCTTTGGAGTTCCGGTGCTGCCAGAAGTGAAAACAATATATAAAAGGCTCTCGGGGTGAATCACCGGTAATTCTGGGCCTTTTGATTGACATCTGACATCCAAATGGTGACGGTTCCACCCAATTATGAATTGCTGGCGTCCAAGCCTCTGGGCCAGTGATGAGTTCTGTTCGGAACATACCAACACTGGTGAATTGGTCTGAGATACTATCTGGGCTAACCGTTCATACGGTTGCTTCATGTCCATAGCAACAAGGATTCCACCAGCTTTCACGACAGCCAGAGCTGCCACAGGCATCCAGAGTGACTTCTCAAACAATAGCGGTACGATAGTTCCTGTTACCCCTACCTGTATCAGTTGCAGTGCGAAGTTGGTGGATATCTCCAGTAGATGTTGATATTCCAGGCTGCCATCCCATGCATGAATAGCCAGGGAGTTAGGGCATTGTAGAGCCTTTTTTTCAACCATCACGTGGATGCATTCAGGGACAGGATCGGGTACCCGTGAGTTCCATTGTAACACGTCGGCTAATCTCCTGGAAGTAAATAAGGACATTGGTGCAACTGTGTCTTCTAGTCTTCCCTGTCTATTGACATTATCTGCCAAAAATCGTAGAATCTTCTCAAAGTCTTCAACAACGCATGCCATTTCCGACTTGGGGAAGATGCGTGTGTCAAACTCCATCCTTGCGTAAACTCCATCGAGGGCCAGTCTGCAGTCAATATCTATGGCATACCTGCCATCACATGGTTGAGGTCCGATTGACGAATGGGGAAGCTCCTTAATAAAAGGCCGCCCTGAGAACTGGGTATCATCTGGCGTGTTATTATGAATGACAAGAAGCGACCGAAATCGACAAGCGATGGCAGCATCCTCACTGAATTGGCGGATATTCTGCAAGCCAGTTTGTTCGAAAGGGATCATATCAGCTATCTGACGATGTACTGCTTGCAATAGTTGGTAAGCACTACCTTTCCAGTCAACCTTTACCCTGGCGGGAACTGTGGCAATGGCAGGGCCCGCCATACGTTCAATTCCCGGCACCGCTGCCTGACGACCCGTTACTGTTACGCCGAATAATGCCTCATTAGAGTCAGCGCGAATGGCCAATACTAACGCCCAAGCAGCACGAACAATTGTGGCAACCGTGAAGTCACTCCGTCCCCAATCCAGTCCAGACACATGGCGTGTCAGGATAGTTGTCAGGATATCCGGGTTGGGATCCACATCAGTCGACAAGCCTATCCATGGGAACCCAGTGCCTTGAATGCCCGCAAATTGGTCAGTCCAGAAGCGATGGGCAGCAACTTCATCGATATTTTGAATGTATTTGATGTATGGACTCATGTCTAGGAGTTCAGGCCCCGGTTCCTGGTAGTATGCATGTTCAACGTCACTCAATAATAGGGGGATAGACCATCCGTCATATAATGCATGGTGCATTTCCCAAGTGAAGTAGTTAGTGTCCCCTGACATTCCGCTGATTATACCAAAGCGAATCAAAGGGTCACCAAGCCCCATGGGAAGCTCTTTGGGCGTTGCCCTTTTTCGGAATTGGTCAAGGGTCGATTCGAACATCCATTGCACTTCCTCGTCGAGGACAACTTGGACAATCCCGTAGTTAGGTAAACTAACAATCCGCGTACGTAAGATGGGATTCGACGCAGCAACTTGGTCCCAAGCCCACTTGAGCCGCCTGATATCGATATCCCGATCTATCCTGTATATTGACTGTTGTACGTACTCGTTGAAATTGCTGCGTGTTAAGGCGAGCATACCCTCTTGTAAAGGCGTACATGGAAGTACATCTAATACTTGGGATTCCTTAACATGGCAAAGGCGTGACGTTTGAGCGCGAGCTTTTTGTGCATCCAATGACAATTTAAGTAACGTGAAAGGTGGAACAAAATCATGGTTGGATGAATTAACAAGCGAGCAAGCTCGATCAACAAGGTCTATTAGTCGGGGCCGTTGAAAAATATCTCTCACTGTTACTAATAGCCCATGCTCATATATCATCTGGCTCAGGCGTATTGCGCTAGAGGCCGAGCCGCCGCACCGAAAAAAGTTATCATGCTCTCCAATAGAATCGGGGGTGACTCCGAGCACTCGAGCCCACAGCAGTCGGATCTGATTCTCAAAGTGAGACTTTAAGGGATCGGCAGGTTGCTTCTTTTCAGAGGCAGGCGTGAACCTAGTACCTGCAGCAATTAGAAGGTCGTGGTTGACAAAAGAATGCAACTCCTGATGGGATGGCAAATCGTCTTGGAATTGCAGGACCGAAAGAGGTAGCATGGTATCTACCCCGTATTATGGGTTGTAAATGCAAGGTTGTTAAACGGAGCCACGATAGTCAATGAAGGCTTCATATGCCATTCCCTCATTTGCACTGACCAAATTCGGCCGACCAACCCCATTATATAGACCGGACCAGCGGCGTGGAGTGGCGTCAGGAACTCTTTCAAGAGAAATAAATTTATTGACCCCTCATGGATTCCATGTCACAAAACCAGAAGAGATGCATTTCGATCGATCTTATGCGGTTCTTTTTAGCCCATTGCCAGGGTATCAACTTGATTTTTGGAGTCGTTGATGTGGTCCAGCCGTCTCAAGCGAATGGAACAAAAGGGTCACACCGCTCCTGACCTGCATCCATCGGTTTTCTGAGCCCGACGTTCCACTTACAGTCGCAATTATGCGAGCATATACTGACAATCCTTTCTGTATTCTTCGTTGTCTGGCCATGCTTGCGTCTCTGCGTAACCGAGTAATTGTAGCAATTTAACGGGCCCCTCCGCCCATCGTGAGCTTGCCAAATGATAGCCTGTCTATTTTGCAAGCCTATGCGAGCAGGGAAGCTAACCATGCCCTCCTATCTTTGCTTTGAAAGACGTGTGTCTTAATATCTGGACCGGCGTGCATGGTTGGTAAGGTAGTCGCAAGCAACCCAACTCGAAGAAGTTGATCATTTTCAGGTGGTATCACACGAAGGATTCCAAAGCACAATCAGCAGTTCTAATATAAATTCTGCCAAACAGTGTTCCTTCGGTGTTTGATGTTGGCCAAAACGATCGGAAATAGGCGATGTTACAGCTCGGCTAGGTGGCTGAGCGGTCAGGTGACCTGTCGTTCGGGCGCCAAGGCGGATGCCAAGGCGGATGAGCGACGCGGTCCCACCGCACACGGGCCAATAATCCTTCGGGGAACAATATCCTGCGATTATCTTTCCTCTATTGTTAGACGACCGTCGTAGCTACGTCTATATCTCAATTCAGGGCCAATTGGCTACATAAGTAGTATGCAGCCGAAGGGTTTCAGCTGAGATATTAGCTAATTAACCGTTTCATTTTACTACCAGCCAACAAGTTTATGCTTCAATTCACGGCACGGACAACCACCTTCATTCTGCTTGTGGTCAACTCACCGCTAAGTTAGTGTGAGGATCTGCAGGTTGGCTAATATCAGTAGAATATTTTGCTACCGAAGATCTGTCTCGGAGTGTTCGGCTTGGATTTATGTAAAGGCCAGTCGGGTTAGAACGGGTGCTAAACCTTTGATATGTCGGTTGAGCCCAAATCTTATCGGCTATTACACCATAGCAGGGCATTTTTTCAAAGGATTACCTGCATAATAACTGACCAGAGTTAATTCATAGTCTACGACTTTTTTCTATATTTGGTGCTTTACTGGAAAATGCTACCAAAATCCATGCAGAAAAGCAGCCTATATGCTGGCTTGGTGAGAAGAGTGGGGGCAGGTTCAGCGCAATAATTCCGTAGCTGGGTCTTCTTGCCCAATCCCATTTTGAGAGGGGGGCACGTATTACAGACCCATATTATAATGATTGCGGTTCGACATCCTCCGCCCCTTACGGCACATGTGATACCACCACTTCACAATTACGGATAGTGTACGACGTATACAGTCTTTCTTTACAAAGGTATGGAACTGGTTAACTCTGTTTCATCTTCGATATGTACAGTGAGGACTCACATAACCGAGCTAGTTACTGGCAAGCAGGCTGTAACCAGATGTGTATTTTTGGGACTTCAGGAATCTTAAACTACTAAGTATAGCTAGATAGGCAAGGCTAAACAGCAGTAAACCTCCGATTGATATAGAACTCGTCTGTTCCTAAAGCCTGTCTTCGATTAGCAGACAGTTCGCTAGTGACTGACCAACCTACACGTTCACTCTCTTGGCCGATAAATAATGCGTAGAGGGGCTATTCACCATGTCTACTAAACCAAAAGACGCTTCCATCCCTATGACTTAGCTTGCTTCCTACCACTAAGCCCGGGGCGACCGGAGTTCGGTGTATGCATAATATAATCAGCAAATGTCCCCAGTGACGCAACTGGAGCCAACACTTCAAGTCTCAAATACCCTCAGATATTAGGAGCTATAAGTCAAGATTTCAAGCATATGGTTCTCACTCTACAACTTAAAAAAGTGTCCACATCTACAAGATATGATATATAATTTCTCTCGTTTATTAAACAATTGGCCCTTACATCTACTGTCAAACTTCCGGTATTAAGGTGCACAAAGTGGCCAAAAACTTCTGATGCATGCTTGAGCTCTAAATATAGAAAAGTATAAATTTACACAATGTACGGATATGAGCATTCATTCCTAACACACAGAGCTCTACAAAACATTTGCAAATACACAAGCTGCTGCCCATACTTGGGAACATATTGGTTAGCGCATATTGGTTCTCATTGATAATGCCTACATAGCGGGAGAATTGCCTGAGAAGAGGACCAAAGATTTGAAATTTACAAGAATCAGGAACCATCATCAGTTTACCTTGCCTCTGTAACTATGTATGCAAAGATATTCTGTAGTAAGGCTCCTTGGATAAGTGATTTTGAAAGTCATGGTCATACATGGCAAGTATATAGAGTATGTTTTGCCCAAGAAGAAAAGAGAGAGAAAAACCACAATCCACTATACCGAACCCCTGAAATTGTGGAAAGGTGTGTTGAGCAACGCCCAACATCTAAACAAGCATGCCCGAACGGGTCCGAGCGGGCCGGGGTACGGAACCTTAAATTGACTTTTACAATAAACTTTCACTAGTAAGTAAGCGTGGAAACGCGTGTAAGTGTGTATTGACTGAGTGAAATAATACCGTATTCAGCACGGCATAAATACCAAAGACCGGATCCCACGATCGGCGTGGAGGATGCGCGCACTGCCAAACCATGTCAACATCGTGCTGTAAATGAGTCATAACTATTCTCGGGGGAACACTTATAGAGAGACCTTTCTCGAGTGAAAGGGAGAAATGGAACTCAACACAAATTAGGCGGAACTGGATAACTATGCCAGATATCACGGAGTCTCACTCGTCAAGCAGTCTCTCTATTGTTGATCAAGATGAATCCGTCAAAAAAATTCTCCAGCGTCAGCTTAATGGGCTTCCAACTGGCTCAACGAAAGATTCTACTGTGCTCGCCTACGCTCAGCCCTTGGATGTAGCTTTGATTGCTCTAAGCACTCTGTCTGCCTTCATCGCTGGTGCATTGAACCCGCTTCTTACAGTCATATATGGCCTCCTGGTTGGCTCATTTAAAAGGCATGCATATGACATGGAAGATAGCTCCCGTTTGTCCTCCAGTGTTTCTAAGTTCACTCTCTACTATGTCTATCTTGGCATCGCGGAATTCATCCTCATATACGTCGCAACTGTAGGATTCTACTAAGGGGAACGAATTACGCGGAACCTACGACAGGCGTATCTCAAAGCCATTATCCGGCAGAACATCGGGTTTTTTGATACCCTTGGTCCAGGAGAGGTTACGACAAGAATATCTGGAGATATGAATGTCGTTCAGGAAGGTATCTCGAGTAAAATCTCAATATTTCTCACGGCTATTGCGACATTCTTATCTGCTATCATTATCTCCTTTTTAAAGAACTGGAAACTCGCCTTAATTCTCCTCTCAACTTCTATCCTTCTTGGAGGAGCAGAGTTTGTGGGGGCAGCATTTGCGTTAAATTACAGCAGAGAGAATTCTGCGTCCCTAGCTAAAGGAGCATCAGCTGCTGAGGAGACATTTAGCTCTATCCAGCATGTTTCTGCTTTTGGGATCCAGGCAGCTATGACCAAACGCTACCAGATCCATCTAAATACTGCTGAGAAGTGGGGGGTGAAGATGCGCCTGTCAGTTTCAATTATGATAGGAGCCGTTAACGCATTGCCGTACCTTACATATGCATTGGCATTCTGGCAAGGGTCTCGTTATATTGTCAGTGGTGAGTCAACCGCTTCTGCAGTCGTTACAATCGTCCTAGCGACAATAATTGGGGCCTTTGCTGTTGGGAGAGTTGCCCCAAGTGGAGAAGCCTTCATTAGTAGCATCTCGCATGCGGGAACTATTCTCAAGGCAATCTCTCGCAAGTCGCCGTTGGATCCATTTTCTACTAAAGGACGTCAGCTACCAAAAGTCCAGGGCAACATTGAGTTGCACAATATCAATTTAACATACCCATCTAGGCAGCACGTACAGGTGCTGAACACGGTAAGCATGAAATTTCCTGCGAATAAAACCACCGCCTTAGTGGGTGCTTCTGGATGTGGAAAGAGTAGCATTATTGGGCTGATTGAACGTTTTTATGAGCCTACGGGAGGATATATTAGTAAGACTGTTCTGCAGTGAGCCTGGTTTGACCGTCAATGCTAATATTACCTTCTCAACCGGTAGCATTGGACGGGCATGAGATATCCGACTTGAACCTGAACTGGCTTAGACAGCAAATTTCGTATGTTGTCCAGGAGCCTGTCTTGTTTAACCGGAGTATTTTTGAAAATATTTTGCTCGGCTTTCCTGACCCTGGGTGGTCGCGACCGGAGCATGAAATGCAGGAGCTTGTATATTCTGCTGCCAAAATTGCAAATGCCCATGACTTCATCATGGCTCTGCCTCATGGCTATCAAACTGAGGTTGGCACCAAGGGACTGCAGCTCTCAGGTGGCCAACGCCAGCGTATTTGTATCGCCAGAGCCATTATCACTAACCCAAAGATTCTACTGCTTGATGAAGCCACATCAGCCTTGGATGTCAAGTCAGAACGAGCGGTTCAACAAGCGTTGGAAGCAGCAGCGCAAAACCGCACGACAATTGTGGTTGCTCATCGTCTATCAACTATTCGCAATGCTGATAACATCATAGTCATGTCGAATGGCTCTGTGGTTGAACAGGGGCGACACGATGAACTCATGAGGAGAGGCGGAATGTATTCCACCTTGGTAGAAGCACAGCAGATGGACATTCCTCCTCAGCATCCCGTAGAAGAAGCAGAAGAGAAGCACGTTCTCGAAAAAGAGCGCACGAGAGAGATTGTTACAAAAGCCAGTATCGAAGTGAACCCATGTCCGGATGGCAGCCTCCACGACAGGCATCAGCATAATACCCAAGAAGAACAGCGTCCGACCTTTAAAACCTATTTCCAGATTGTAGCACAACTTAACCGAGAGGAGGCACCTGTAATTTTTACTGGTGTTTTTCTCTGCTTCATTGCAGGCTGTGTGATCCCAGTGTAAGTCTTTGATAACTATTATCAGCGGTTACCTTGCAATCGGCAATGATGATAACAGGGATATACACCAACAGACAATCCGTATTCTTTGCAGAATCGATCAATGTTGTTTCTCTTCCACCATCTCAATATACTCAGCTTCGGAACGAGATCAATTTCTGGTGTCTCATGTTCCTGATGATTGCTATTGTCAACTGCATCGCATGGGTTGGCCAAGGAACATGTTTCTCCTATTCTACGGAACGACTATCTCATAAAGGCCGATACCAGATGTTCAGGTCTATTCTTCGACAGGACCAGGCATTCTTTGACCAAAAGGAGCATTCACCGGGAGGATTATCCTCATTCCTCTCCACGGCACCAACGGAGCTTGCGGGCCTTAGCGGTGCAGTAATCGGCGCCTGTTTGACGTTTATTGCCACTATTGCAGGAGGATTCATCCTCTCCTTAGCGGTGGGCTGGAAACTTGCCCTTGTCTGTGCAGCAACAATTCCGATAATGACAGGCTCCGGCTACATTCGACTTAGAGTTCTCTCGCTCTTTGACGGCCAGATGCGGGCAACCCATCAAGAAGGTGCCATATATGCTAGTGAAATAATCACGGTTATCAGATCCGTTGCCTCGTTGACGCTTGAAAGCCATGTTCTAGACGAATACAGCCGGATACTGGCCCAGCGTGCAGCCAAAACTATGAGATTTATTCTGATAACCTCCACTCTCTATGCTGCATCCCAGTCTTTTACATTCTTCTGCATGGCACTTGCATTTTGGTATGGTGGGACGCTCCTGGCGGATTCTGAATACAGTATGCTTCAGTTTTTCATATGCTTTGTTTCCTTGATTTCAGGGGCACAAATTGCAGGGGCTATCTTCAACTTTGCTCCAGATATGAGTAAAGCGCTTCATGCTGGCCAGCGTGTGAAGGAGCTCTTTGAGCTGAAGCCTAGGATCGATACGTGGGATAACTCAGGCCAACGCATCAACGGCAGCACTGGACAGATTGATATTGTGGATGTCAGCTTTAGGTATCCAAACCGCCCTGAACGACTGGTTTTAGACAGGCTCAACCTCAGTATCGGTCGCGGCCAGTATGTGGCATTGGTAGGGTCTAGCGGCAGCGGTAAAAGCACCGTTATTCGCTTATTAGAGAGATTTTTTGAACCAACAGAGGGTAAAATCCTGGTGGATGGAAAGGATATTTCCCAGCTCAATATCAATGACTACCGGAGCTTAATGTCCCTTGTTAGCCAGGAACCTACCCTGTATGAGGGATCAATCCGGGACAATATTCTTCTAGGCACCGAGAGAGAGGTAGGGGAGGATGAACTTGTGCAAGTGTGCAAGAAAGCGAACATTTACGAGTTTATCTCTTCTCTACCGTGAGTACTCTCAGCCACTTTGGTTTGTCTTTTTATGACCACTAACGAATACTTCTAGTGATGGGTTTGCAACCCTAGTTGGCACTGGGGGAACTATGCTCAGCGGAGGCCAGAGACAGAGACTCTCAATTGCCAGGGCCCTGCTTCGGAATACTCAGATTCTGCTCCTTGACGAGGCCACGTCAGCGTTGGACTCTGAGTCCGAAAAGGTGGTCCAGGACGCTCTTGATAATGCTACCAAGGAGCGAACTACTATTGCCATTGCCCATCGACTGAGTACAATCCAAAATGCGGATTTTATATGTGTCCTGGATCATGGCAGGGTAGTTGAGAAGGGAACCTATGCTCAGCTGCTGGCCAAAAGGGGGCTGTTCCATAATTTGGTACATATGCAAAGCTTAGGGGCTGTTGGACCAGTTGAACTAGATAACGGTAAATAAATACACGAGAAGCAGATAATTCAATCAAGTGTACATTTTTACCTGTCATTGTTTTCTCGGTATGAGCTGCATCTGCTGCCATGTGAGCTCATAGGCTCTCGAAACCAGGGAGAGTTCTGGTCATACAAGCATCGCTGTCGTGCAATTGTTGGCTTAATCTCTAAATAAACCATTCTCCGCATTGAGATCTGCCGTATAACGTCAAAACGCATGGTGTATAACTAGTGAAGGGTTATAGACTTGACCAGCAAACCTGCCGTGACACTGCCCTCCCCCCCATTTCTCTGTCACCTCGACCAGGTTTAGCCAAAGCAGTCAAGATGATCGACCGGTCGAATGACCAGCCGACCAAAAGGAGAGGGAGAAAAGCTGTCTACGGTATCACAGGACGAGGAGACGTAAGGTCCGTAACGCCCGGCTTCCTGCTATTGGCAAGGGAGATGCAACACCGGAACAGAGACACAAACCGACATTCCTCCCCGTCATACCAGCTGTCGATGCAAGGATGCGGCCGGTTTTCAATAAAACTAATCAGTATGCAAGCCCCTCGCCGGGCAATGAGACCGGAAGTCGAGACGCCGTCCATAGCATCCAGGCAGCTTGCTAAACCCCCCTTTTCCCTGGGAGCAAGCTGCAAGAACTAGATACTTGCAGCATGCACAGCCGTCTATAGCCATATTTTACTGGCCGTAAGGCCTCATAGGATTCGAACTAGGGGCAGAATTAGGAGTAAGTAGCTTTGCCTGCTTTTCTGTTCGCAAAGGGGACGTCATGATAGTGACGTACGCTGGCGTTAGCCCACGTTAGCCCTCCAGACCAAAGTTTCGGATATCTCAAGTCTCTGCCCTTCCCGTTGACTAGCGAGAAAAAACTCGATGCTTGTCTCGTGAATAAAGGTATGAGTTTGCGGCCGGAGCAGCCCCGGGGGCTTTGAATAGCTGCTAACTATAGCTAGGGGCTTTTCTTAATAAATACCAGGCGGGATGCCTCGTCAGCTTGAGATCCTCTCCTCTGGAGGCACACTTTTCATCTGAGCCCTGTTATTATTCTATACCACCACCAAGTTATACCAACAGCCATCAGCTTAGCTAGAACGGAACGATGGACGTGCTTAAGAGCCCCGAGTTCGCGGAATATGTGAAAAACACCATCGAACGGTACCATGTACCAGGCGTGGCCATCGCCGTCGTACAGGGCGAGCACATCGAGTCTGCAGGCTTTGGGAAAGCATCCCTGGATCCGCCTGAAGACTGCACGCCTGATACCCTCTTCGACATTGCCTCGACCTCCAAGTCGCTGACTGCGGCGTCGGTTGCACTGCTTGTTGACGACAATGAGAAACACCCGCAGATTCAGTACGATGCTCGCATGGCTGATCTCCTACCAGGTGACTTCGTGATGCCGATGGACGAACATGAAGACGTCACTCTGGAAGATATCCTCTCGCATCGAACCGGGATGGCACCGTAAGATACATCTTGTCTCTCCTACACTTAGTTATTAACTGACTGGCTCTAACGTCTCGAACAGAAATGAGTATTCGCTTATGGGACCAAACGCAGTTCAGCCCGACGATGCGCAGTCCGTGACTAGGAGTCTCCGGCATCTAGTGACCATAGCCCCCAATAGATCAGAGTACCTCTACTGCAATCTCATGTATACCGCCGCCTCGTACCTGGTCGAGCAGAAAAGCGGGCTCAGCTTCTCCGACTTCCTGCATGCAAACTTCTTCCAGCCGCTACGTATGAAATCTACCTATCTTCAGCCGCACGCCGCCAGGTCGGACGGACTCTCCCACCTCCTGGCGACAGGCTACTTCTGGAACAAGAGAGGAAACAAATACACGCCTATTCCATGCCACGATTCCCCCGAGGCACAGGGGGCGGGAAGGATTATTTCCAGCGCAAACGATTACATTCGCTGGGTTCGGGCGTTGATGAACTGCAATGACCCCGTCACGAAGAGCATGTATGAAGGGATGATCAAGAAACGCATCTCGCAATCGCCGCCTGGCGAGAGCGGAGACGATGAGAATGACCACGAACCCCCGCAAGCCTTCGCGGGTGCGGGGGTTGAAATACTTCAGTATAACGGACACGTCATGGTGAGCCACGACGGACTCGATCTGGGGTTTGGCGCAACCCATTTTTTCATGCCTGAACAGAAGTTCGGGGCAGTGATATTTGGGAATTCGAACAATGCGTCTAATGTTGCGAGGATGATCAAGTATAAGCTTGCAGATTGGGTGACGGCTGGGATCGAGAAGCGGTACTCAAGTTTGCTTGAGGGTGTGTCTTCGAGCGAGAGTGATGATGAGGAAGATGAGGCAGATGAAGAAGATGAGGAAGATGAAGATGACTTCACTGATCTTGAGAATGAGATGATTGATGAGTTATGTGCTGATGGAGGCGTGAGGAGTGACCAGACCATGGCCCTGTCAGCTTATACAGGCGAGTACTGGCATGAAGGGTACAAGGGAATCAAAGTCACGCAGAAACAGGGCCGGTTGTTCGTTGATGCGAGAGATCGATCGGTGAGATTCACGTTGGAATTCATGCACATCTGTGACCAGAGGAAGTATATCGCTTACATGGTCGAGATGAGCGAGCAGGATGTCCGGGCTCCTGTGAAAGCGGAGTTTGTGCTCGAGGGCGAGAAGGCGGTGCAGCTTGGTCTGACGCTGGAGGCTACGTGGGATGGGTATATCTGGTTCAAGAGGGTGGATGCGGCAGACGTATAGACGGAGAATGGGAATTAGAAAAAAGGGGAATTGACTTTGATATTATGCACTACTCTTATAGTATCTTAACCATTTGCAAGAAAAAGCAACGCCGTAGAATTAATAGAATTCAAATAGGGTCAGAGAAAAGTATTGGCATAAGTCTTGGGATCGTGCAGAGAAGTCTCGAAAAGAGTTGATAAAAATGAAAAAACGCGCTGAGGCTAGGGGTGTGAAGGGAAGGGACAGCTAGAATGCCATTCCTGCCAGCCAGCCTGCCTAGCGATGAGATGCTATGTACGCTGAGTGTGTGCCAGGGAAAAATAAAAATACCTAAGAAGATAGATATAAAGTAGAAGGAAAAGGAGACAAAAGGGACAGGATGGACGGATAGGAATTAAGTGAACGTAGACGTATCGAAGCGAATGTGTCGAGTAGTTTGCATGGGGTTGATTTTGGTTGAATTTTGGTGACAAAAAAAGTGAAATCGAACGGGGTTCAAAGCCAGCTTTGTTTTTTTGTAAGCGAAGATAAGGAGAAAAAAAAAAGCGGGTTGAGTGAGAGTGAGTGTTGCTGGTGGCCAGGTTGATCTGATGCAAGGAAAATATTTCATCGCGGTGCGTCGCTTCGCTGGGGTATAATAATCGAGATAGATGTAAGAAATATGGAAAGAGAAACAACACAAAAGAACCAAGGCAAGAGATAGCCGGATATTCCCCCCTCCCAAAAGAAAAATGTTTGCCCCAAAACCGAGTCCAGAGCCGGACGAACCGAAACCAAGTCATAGGAACCACCAGTAAGTAGAACCATCTCGTTAAAAGTGAAAAGAAAACAACTCCTGCCCTTAGCAAGTTAGAGAAACTCGTCAATGTTCCGCATTATTATTGGCTCTGTAGACTGTTGCGGCGATCGTGGATCATACAACACTGTCGGTCGGTTGATAGGAGACGTTGGTTGGTTGACCTCGAGAGATTTGCGAACCGAATCCACACCCGCTAGACCCAGACAGCTGCCTACGGGAGGCTGAGCGGTAGCGCCAGGGGAGAAAATACCCGGCGAGAAAGGAGATGCGATGACGAATTGATCTGTGGTTTTGGGGGAAAAGATGGTTGATTCGTCTGGAAGCGTGGTTGCGGGCGCGGGGCAATCGGCCATTTGTACGTCTGTGTCGCCGTGTGAGTTGTTAGGAGGTTGGAAGAACGAGCGGTTTGGGAAGAGGGTTTCTGGGCGAGAGGTAGAGTTGGAGCGACGGTATGAATGGAACGTCTGGTATTTTTCGCGTAAGGGCAGTGGACGGGGCAGCACGCTGCAGCGTTTGGATGAGGAGCCGTTGCTGTTGCTGTTGCTGGCATTGCTGCTCTTGCTGCTGCTGGTAAGGCGAGAAAGCCTGAACGGATTGTGCGAGAAGAAACTGAATCCTGTGTTCGAACTTGACTGGCTCTCGAGGGAGGGCTTCTTGAATGCCGGAGAGGACGATGGAAGTGGCAGTTGCGGTGCTTTTTCCTGGACAGCTGGACTGTCAAGCCATTCCGGAGCAGGCTGCTTGCTGATATTGCTCTTGTCCTGCAGCTTGCTTCTGAAGTCTGTCAATTGATAGATGAGGCTCATGTTGGGGCCTACCCAGCGACTACGGGCCTTGACCATGCTGTAGACGGAGTTGAAGTCGAGATGTCGGTTTTTGTAGAGTCCATAGGCAATGACCAGCGAGGCAGACCGACTGACACCGAGCTGGCAGTGGATGAGGACTGATTTGCCCTGAGTGAGACGCTCGTCGATCATTTCGCAGAGGGTGTAGAGGTCGTCTAGGATCTCGGAGTTGTGGTCCCAGGGAACGTGAATGTACTCTGGCTGTTGGCAGCGGGTGTCTTCTGCCTTGGGTGTGGATGGAGACTCTGACTCGCCCTCCTCGGCGGTGGCAGATGGCGGGTACTCGAATGCGGACATGAAGGTAGCATCTGAGGTGGCGGTGGAAGGCTCCGAGTTGTGTCTGCCGACATTGGCTTTCCAGACGGACATGACAGTATCCTGTCGCTCTCTTGCAGCGACCTTGAACGGGTTACGGACCTCCTTGGCTACATTGAAGACGACATCGAAGCGAGAGGCCTCTTCATGGCTAGGTTCGAGGTAGAGATACAGGCCGGAATCGTAGATGAGGACCGGACCGTGGGGGTACCCGCGTTCGGAACCCTTGCGAGACTCGCGAGAGATTGGGTTATCGTCTTCTTCATTTAACCTCTCTAGCAATTCGTGTTGTGTGAAGAGCTGCTGTTGGTGGGTTGACTGGCTGTTGGATTCATCTCGAGAGCCGGAGAGGGGCCGTTTGCCTGGGTTGGTGGTGCGTTGCTGTGATGACATGGATGGTCTGCTGGTGGTGCTGCTGCTGTCCGGGAAAGTCGGGGAAAGAATTGAGTTAAGAGACGGGGAGGATTCAGCGTGACGAAGGAGCGGCTTTAACGTGGGGGTTGGGGGGACCGCATTTGAGCCAAAGGAGCATCGGTTGAAGCCTGGTGTCTGGATGGTAAGATTCGGCGGTTTCCTTTTGCTGGCATTAGAGGTTGTAGTGTGATGGTGCATTGGCGAGGGCGGCGCGGAGAGGTTCCTGGCGCTGCTTTCAGTGATGGGCGCGGTGCTGAGGGGAGGCTGTCGACAGGAGCCCGGCTGTGGCAGTCTGAGGGACAAGTTTTTCAGGTTTCTTGCCTTCCGCGAAGGGGAAGACTCTGGTAGGTGGCAGGACTCCTTTTCCCCGACTGTAGAGCTGTGTTGGTGTTGGTGTTGGTGCTGTGGCGGTTTTAGAAGTGGTTCCAGGACTGGAGAATTGACTACTCGTCCCTCTGGTTTGCGCAGTGGACCCAGCGGGGTGATTGAGGTTGGTGACTCCGGAGAGGAGCTCGGAGAAGTCTCCATGATGATTGGTGAGTCAAAGGTCGAGCTGCTGGTGGTAGGAGACGAATCAGTTGACTCTGAGGTTGCTGAGATGCTCTCTCGCGGTAGGAAGGAGAGTGGCAGCGGAGATGCAAGTGAAGGATATCGCGCAGTCGCAGTCGTCGTTGTTGTTGACGATGTCGATGTCGAGGCAGAAGTACCGGTGCTGGGAGCAGCAGCCCTAGTAGACATCAACCTGGGTTTCCTGTCGTGCTCTGCTGTCGAGTCTAAACCAGACTTGCTGTACGCATCCTGCAGGTTCGAATGGACGGTCTCAGGTATCAAGAAAGGCGCCGAAGTCGAGGGCGGCGGCGTATTCAGCGAGGAGTGACGAGTCGACCAGCTGAGCCTTGATCGAGAGAGCGAGCGAGACCTGCGTTTCGCCTCTGAAGCTGTCGTTGGCAGGGACGATGAGGTCGGGTGAGGCATTATCGGCGGTTGCGCAAGCATCAGACCTCTCTTGAAGTATTATCTGTATATATGTATGTATATGTAGATATATATATATATATATATATATATATAGAGAGAGAGAGAGAGAGACGCAGTAGTAGCAGGAATAGTTGTGATGGTGATGGCGAACGTCTGTGGTTTATCGGGTTAGCATGACCAGCCAGACAGTCCCATGAGAAGGTCATGGTCATGAACAGCTCCAGGAAGAAAACGAAGGAAGACGAAAAACACGCTGAAACAGCATGCAGCCAGGCAGGGCGCGGCAAAGCCATCCAGCAGCGCTTAGCTGGCGTTGAGGATGATGCAGTAGTGAGTAGGAAGAAGCAAAAGAACCCACCTTTCTCCGTACACACAGCCTTCCCTCTGGCTTATCCCCCAGCTTCGAACTACTTTTCCACCACTAATCGCATGGGAAACCGACGACGATGGGGAGGAGGAACAGGAGGAATGTCCGGCAAGAGAGAAAGGTCCGGTTATTGCCAGTGGTGACGGCGGGTCGAAGGGATCATGGGTGATGGCTGTTTGTTTCGCCTTTTGGTGTGTGAGTCTTCCGCTGTCCACCTTGGTCGAACTGTCTGTTTCACCACCAGCCGGAGCTACCACCAGGAGAAGCAGTTGGCGAGGACGGAGATGGAGATGGTGGTAATGTATGAGAATATGAGAATATGGGAATGTCGAACGAGGGACGTCTTTCCACCTGGGAAGAGACGGGGAGAGAGAGAGAGAGCAGGCGATGTAGTTAGGGAAAGACGGCGGCTAAAAAAAAAGAGCGTGGAGTCGAGACGGGAGCAGCCCTCGTCAGGCTGTCGGTGGAGGGAGGACGGAGGAGGACGAGGCCGGCGTGAGGAAGACGAGGACGAGGAGAAGGAAGAAGAAGAAGAAGAAGAAGAAGGAGAAGAAGAAACGACGGCGATGAAGAGATGAAGAGATGAAGAAGAAGAAGAAGAAGAAGAAGAAGAGAAGAAGTTGAAGTCGAAGTAAGAGACGAAGCGGGAGCGAAGGAGGTTTTGGGTAAGGTTGGTAATACACGATACGAGAGATACCAGCTCTTTTCTGGTATTGAGTCTCTTCTTCTGGTTGGTCTCTTTGGTCTCTTTTGGTCTCTCTTGGTGCTTTTTGCGTGGGTTTGGGGCGGGTGGGGGCAGGGGGGCGCTAGGGGAGGCCCGTGACTTGGTATGGTCAGGTACGGTACATGACGGTAAGTTACCGCTCCTTACAGTACTCCTACTTCTCTATCAACCTCCCCTTCTTCTTCTATATCTTCTTCCTTACTCCTGAATCTTTACCCTCAGCTGCCATTACTTTCTACTCTCGACTACTACTTCTTTCTTCTCCTCTTCTCTTCTTCTTCCTCTACCTACTGTCATGTCTTTCGTCTTTGCTATTGAGTCTGTTTAACGGAGGCTGGCTTGGCCGTCTAAATATAGCATCAAAACACTCAAAGTTGGCTTCGTCTGCTGCTTCTTCTTCTCCTTCTTCTCCTCCTTCTTCTCCGTCTTCTCTGCTGTTCCTGTTTCATCTTTTAGCTCAAGTCGACTAGTTAGCCCTCAAGTTCCTCTGCTTCCTCCTTTCTCCCAGCCAACCATGGCCAGCAGAAGAGCAAGCTCAGTCGATGGGGAGAGGGGGGTCTCTCCACCGCCCGTCTGTCTCTATATATAAACTGGCTTCCTGGAGACATGGGTTTTGCTCGTAAGTAACGCCAGGACAGGCAAAAAAGAAAGTGGAAGAGACAGGAGAAGGAGCGGAAAAAAGCAACGCTTGCCGCAGCGGCAAGGACCAGCCAACCAGGCGTCGCAGGGCCTCACTTTGGCCCCTTCAGCTAGCAGGAGTCGGCAGTTAGTAAGAGGGCAGGATAGGCATGAAAAGAAGTCAAGTCAAGAAACGACTCCACTGGTGGGTGTTATGTACTTATCTCGCCATCGCCAGGAGATGTACGACATTTCTCTTACTTACATACGAACCCGGGTCATAAAGGCGGGCACATATACCGTCTCCTAGCACTCCGTATGAACAACTTGGGCAGGTCGAAATGTCGCAGCAGAACAACAAGTCTGAGGAGCCAGAGGCAGCAGCAGCCACAGAGCAGTAAAAGGGAGTACGAGACGGATGGAGAACCCGAACGCCCTTGACGCCCTCGTCCCTGTGCTTGCCTCGTGTCCGGCCGGAAGACGCAGCCGTGGTCAGCTTGCGCCATCAGAGGTAAGGAAGTCCTTGCTTCGTCTCTCTTCTTCTCTTCTCTCTCTTCTCTCTATACTCCGTAGTCACAGTCCTGTAGTAACAGTCATGTACTGACGGTGACGGTACGGCCCTATACGCTGTTCAGCCTAGTTTTTATCCAAGAGGATATAAATAGATAGACGTCGTTTCGCTCAAATCGGCCATCAATAAGACGGCTCTATCGCTCACCTGGTGTTTTTTACCTACAGTCTGGGCCCTTTGG